TGGTTTCGCATTTATATTTTCTTCTTTATATTTTTAGCGACATTTATATATANCCCTGAGATATACCTTGTCAGAATTTACCTTTGATTATTATATTATTCACTCATCATGGAAGTTGCTGGATAACATGAGCTCTTATTAATAACTTTTTTGACACACCTACAAGTGTTAATCAAACCAACTGCACTATTTTTACTTTACAAACATTTTCAAACACGCTCTGAGCAGCTGAAGAAAAGGATTCATAATGAAAAGTGGTTCTTACATTCAATTAATCAATACTCTTTCCGACTGAAACTGCTTAACTGATTTCGCCATTGCTTGTGCGCTTGAATGATTCATATAAATGAAAAGCACACTTGATTTTTGTCATAATTAGTGGATTATGTATTCATCTCTCTCTACGGCTCTACAGTAATTTCTTTTGCATTTTGGCTTCTCCAGGTTCGGTCCTCTTATAGGGCTGGGGAACTTTTTGTCAAGACTATGGTGAAAGAGAAGGCCAAGAACGCATCTAATGTATCTGCTTAATTCTGACTCATCTTCTCAAGTAGACATGCATTCTCTTTGCAAAATATCGGCATTCAATAGCGATTATCTGATGCAACAAGAAGCTTCAGTACAGAAGCAGGTTGGGTTGAGATGAAAATGATTATTCAATTTTGGCGTTATGACTCCCTATATATTTTTAAATTTATTGATTACAGTTTTTATGAACTTAATTCTTTATCTTTGTTCTCTCGTGTAAGATCTTAATCCTATGCTCCGAAGGAAACAGGCTTTTCTCTAAAATATAGCTATATGTTAAAACCTCAATTCTAATTTTAGGTCCTTCATGTTTAAACTGGGTTAGATATAAAAATGAGGTTTCTTTATCACCTTTGATCATATTGTCTTTACTCGAATATTTTTGTCTTGCGTTGTAGAACATCTCACACGTTCATAAACACCATCCTTTTCTGTCAGAATCTCCGATCAAAACGTATTGGAATTTGTTTGCATGGACACGAGTGAGCCTGATATCTATTGTCTACTAAACGGTTACAAAAAAGGGGGTCAACATAATTCAATAGGTTAGGGACCATTTGTGTCAATTCCCCGAATTTTCACTTTTTACAATATATTACAATTCTTCGTAGAATATGTAGAGTTATGCATGATTAATTTAATTCATTACGCTATATATTTTTTCTTATTTTCTTAATTTTTCATTATTTATTCCATCTATTTTCCATTATTTTCATAAAATAGCAAATGCATGAAATAAATAGGAAAATTTACATAAGTCGGATTATAAACTATAGAGGCCCTATATTAATGTTAACACTTAAGAATATGGTTTTGCACCTTAGATGGTTATTTTATATTTTTGGAAAGTATTTTTATATCAAAATCAAGAAACTAAATAGAAAAAACTCACAAATATTGAATTTTAAATTTTTAGTGTCCATGATAAAAAAGAGAGCTTGGTTTCGCATTTATATTTTCTTCTTTATATTTTTAGCGACATTTATATATATAAAAAAAAATCTTGAAATTTGATGAAAAGAACAATAATTCCAAATATTACCAAAACTTGAAATATTACACTAAATTATTATTATTTTTATCAAAATAGTATTATTATTATTATTATTATTATTATTATTATTATTATTATTATTATTATCCGAAATTTAGATTGTGGTGTAGCGCATCTCCGTCAATATTGATTTTTTTTTTGGAACTAAAATTGTGGATGGAATTGGTTTCATCGTCCAACCTTCTTGTTTTAAAGTTACTCCTTCGTTCGGTTTTTCATATCTTTTAAAAATGGATTATATTCGGATGTTTAGATGAAGATGTGCCAAAACTACGTGCACGAGATAGTTCATCCACAAACCTCAAAGCAAGAGAACTCTATATATACACACACCAATTATGTGCCCTAGCTCAACCTACTCCATCACTTCAAGAACAGGGTTATTAGGTATTAAGAGCTTGTTTGGGAGGGATTAAAATCAGATTAAAATTGAAAATATAGCCATTGGAGTTGACTTTTATTAGACGAGTGAGACCCAATAACGACTATATTTTCAATTTTAATACTTCCCAAACAAGCTCTAAAGATATTTCATGGTATGTATACAAGGGATATGGCTTGAGGCAATCTTTTCACTGTTCAACATCAAGGTGAGGCCTCTGGTAAAAGCTTTCTGGAGCACTAAATATTACAGAATATTAGCTACAGAATATTAGCCTATGTTTTTAAACTAAGGAATGCCATGCAAACATATAGAAAGCATGCATATTTTATATGTAGGAAACACTCTTTCTTATAGCATGGTACATGAAATATTTAAGTGGTTCAAAAGTTCAGATACTCTTGATAATTACAAGTAGGATCATATAGCATAATACTTTCTTTACGCGTCGATGGTCATCTATTTTAACCTTTACGATTAACTATGTTGAATTTGGACAATATGAGAATTGTCACTTGATAACTGGGACCTCCTCAGTGAGCTAGTTTATCATACAAGAACTTTAACAGCATGTTATATTCATATAATTTTATAGTTCATGTAGGTCCTACGTAGCATTCGCCTCGAGTTAAACATCTAGGATAGCATACTTAGTCCCTATTTGATTTAGTTAAAAAAAAGAAAGATAAAAATATAAATTAAAGCCAATAATTAAATTTAACTACACATTTTATAGTATCCCAACTTCTATTAATTTTTAAATGTATATTTTGGGATCTTCATTAAAATTTTGCAGTGTTCTAAAATGCGTAATGCGTTGCGAAGTGTCGAGACCGAGAATCAAGAATCACAAGTTTAGGCATGTCAATGCGAAGAATAAGCGTCATAATACGTTTCGTATTTTTAAGACATTAAATATATTTTTATATAAAAAAA